CTGCAACCCCATATCATCCATTTGCTGCATCACAGAGCTTTCAGCATAAAGGGGGGGTTTACTAAAACTGGAGCAGACAGAATCTGTGTATAGCAAGGATAGGCAAACTCCATCCCTCCACCTGAGGTAAAACTACAATTGCTAATATGTATCTGCCTCTTGGAGTCATGTCTGTGGCTGTCAGTCTTGCAATGCCTCATGGGATTTGTAGTTCCACCACAGCTGGAGGGCTGGAGATTGCTTACCCCTGACGTAGTAACCAATTAGCTTCAATCTTCAGCTTGTTCAGTTAAGCTTTGAAAATGAAAGGTAGAAACTGATTGGTTCTCATGCATAGCTGCTGCGTGTTCTGCCTGCTCAAGGCCTCTCAATGATTTGGAGCATCGCTGAAGACACAAGTTGAGCTGTGGACCTTAAATTTGAACTCTGGGCACAAAAACTTTCAATCAAATACAATCCACAACAATCACAGAGAATATAAATCCCCTTTGTGGGCACCAAGTACCTGTGCAAACATAGATATTAACTTGTAAAAGTATCAGTGGTATTATCAATGTGCTGTACATTGCCTGTGCATGGAGCAGAGCTGTGGGAGGGACCCATCAGGCCACACCCACTACAAGCTGCCTGCAGAAAATTACCGGAGGGGGCGGATACAAGACCAGTCACCCTGCACAAGGAGAGAGAGCAGCAGTGACTGGTCTTTATTACAGGAAGCTCCTGCACAGAGGCAAAGCTTCACACTGCAGTACTGCACAGATCTGGAAGAAATACACAAAGCTCACCAAGATTCAAGGAAGAATACATATGCCTCTTGTATTCCAAAAATATTTGCTAAACTTTGAAGTGACACTAAACTCAGGAGTTAAATATTAAAAATACATTCAGGTACCTTAACTATCAACAGAACTGTATCTTATTTGTGTATCACTCGGCTGTAGATCCTCAAATCATCTCTGAATTGGTGCTGACACTGTCCTTCCTTTTGGAGGGTGGCTACTTTTGCTCCCCATGGTCCCTGTCTGTGTTGTAAAGTGGCCACCGCTCCAAGCGCACTCCTGTGATGGACTACAATCTCACGTTTAGATTATTAATTTGTATTGAGATTGTAGTCCATCACAGGAGTGAGTTTGCAGTGGTGGCTACTTTACAACACACACGGGGGCAAAGGGGAGCAAAAGTAGCCCCCCTCCAGAAGGAAGGACAGTGTCAGCACCGATTCAGAGATGATTGGAGGATCCACAGCCGAGTGATACACAAATAAGATACATTTTTGTTAATAGTTACGGTACTTGAATGTATTTTTAAGGTTTCATTCCTGAGTTTAGTGTCACTTTAAATAATGTTACCTGCAGCTGAAGTACAACTTCTTGGAACATCGTGCTCATGTAAACAAGCATAGGCTCACTGCCGGCCTGACTTGTTCCTCAATCCTACCAAGGGGTTTGCCTTCTTAATTCTTCGGGCTTGACATTTATGTACTGCTTCATTATAAAGTCTATTGTTATTGTTATTATATAAAAGGAAAGTACCTTCGAGAAAAAGAGGCAACGGCAGTTATTTGTACACCCCGTCCTAGTATACGGAGAGTCCGAAGACTCGCTCCAAAGCCGGCCCGCCAATGGATGGTCAAGGCTCGGCCACCGAGATATTATCTGTATGACATTCTACATCTCTTCTATTTATCTACGTATCATCTATCAATATGTCTATCTCTCTATTGATCTATCTATCCCATTTATATCTATCTTTACTTATATCTTATATTGATCTATAGATATGTATCCATTCCATATGTATCTATCAATCCCGTATCTATCTATTGATCCCATACGTATCTATCAATCCCGTATCTACCTATCTATCAATCCCATATCTATCAATCCCATATCTATCTATCAATCCCATATCTATCTATCCCGTATCTATCTATCCCGTATCTATCTATCCCGTATCTATCTATCGATTCCGTATCTATCTATCAATCCCATATCTATCTATCCCGTATCTATCTATGCAGTATCTATCTATCGATTCCGTATCTATCTATCAATCCCATATCTATCAATCCCGTATCTATCCATCCCGTATCTATCTATCCCATATCTACCTATCGATTCCTTATCTATCTATCAATCCCATATCTATCAATCCCGTATCTACCTATCGATCCCATATGTATCTATCAATCCCATATCTATCAATCCTGTATCTACCTATCGATCCCATATGTATCTATCAATCCCATATCTATCTATAAATCCTGTATCTATCAATCCCGTATCTACCTATCAATCCCATATGTATCTATCAATCCCATATGTATCTATCAATCCCATATGTATCTATCAATCCCATATCTATCTATCAATCCCATATGTATCTATCAATCCCATATCTATCTATAAATCCCGTATCTATCAATCCCGTATCTACCTATCAATCCCATGTGTATCTATCAATCCCATATGTATCTATCGATCCCATATGTATCTATCGATCGCATATCGATCTATCGATCCCATATCTATCTATCGATCCCATATCTATCTATCAATCCCATAGGTATCTATCAATCCCATATGTATCTATCAATCCCATATGTATCTATCGATCCCATATCTATCTATCGATCCCATATCTATCGATCAATCACGTATCTATAAATGCCGTATCTATATATCTATCTATCTATAAGTCCTATATCTATCAATCACGTATCTATCAATGCCGTATCTATCAATCCTATATCTATCTATCTATCTATCAATGCCGTATCTATCAATGCCGTATCTATCGATCCCATATGTATCTATCGATCCCATATGTATCTATCAATCCCATATCTATCTATCAACCCCATATCTATCTATCCATCTCTCTATATATCCCGGGACACATATATACTTTACAGCTTACCCTGGATGACCGATACACGTGTTCTCCCCCGCGGTGACAGTAATGTATAGGTATTGTGTCCAGTATGAACACAGCACCTATATATGCAGTACAGTCCCACATGCTTTCTGCTCCTAATCGATGCTGCATATACAGGATGTAAGAAGCATGCGTTGAGTGTCCTGTATAACCGCATTATACATATACACTGGAAGATAAGATCATTCCACATACATCTCATACATAGCACACAGGATTTCTAGAATACATAGATTGTCTCCTGTACCTGTACGGGGGTGACAGCTCTGGGACCAGAAGATCCGGCTCGGGAGGAGAAGCTGGTAGAAGCCCGAAGCAATACAGGGAGCCAGTGGCCAGTGCGGAGGGACTAATGCAGACAGTGCTGGGGGACCGGCGGAGAAGGCAGACTGCTGGCATCAGTGCACATTGCTGTCAGCTCTGCAGGCTAAAGAGAGGAGGAGGCTGCTGCAGCCTGAGAGGAGGGGGAGGGGGCGCAGAGATTCCGCCCCCAACACTGGAGACAGCACAGCCAGCATACATGTCACCCCGTGTATAACACCGCTCTCTATATAACACTCACCGCTCTGTATAACACACACCAATCTCTATAATACACTCTGCTCTGTATAATACAGATACACACCGCTCTGTATATAATACAGATAGATACACACCACTCTGTATAATACAGATAGATACACACCACTCTGTATAATACAGATAGATACACACCACTCTGTATAATACAGATAGATACACACCACTCTGTATATAATACAGATACACACCGCTCTGCATAATACAGATAGATACACACCACTCTGTATAATACAGATACACACCGTTCTGTATAATACAGATACACGCCGTTCTGTATAATACAGATACACGCCGTTCTGTATAATACAGATACACGCCGTTCTGTATAATACAGATACACGCCGTTCTGTATAATACAGATACACGCCGTTCTGTATAATACAGATACACGCCGTTCTGTATAATACAGATACACGCCGTTCTGTATAATACAGATACACGCCGTTCTGTATAATACAGATACACGCCGTTCTGTATAATACAGATACACGCCGTTCTGTATAATACAGATACACGCCGTTCTGTATAATACAGATACACGCCGTTCTGTATAATACAGATACACGCCGTTCTGTATAATACAGATACACGCCGTTCTGTATAATACAGATACACGCCGTTCTGTATAATACAGATACACGCCGTTCTGTATAATACAGATACACGCCGTTCTGTATAATACAGATACACGCCGTTCTGTATAATACAGATACACGCCGTTCTGTATAATACAGATACACGCCGTTCTGTATAATACAGATACACGCCGTTCTGTATAATACAGATACACGCCGTTCTGTATAATACAGATACACGCCGTTCTGTATAATACAGATACACGCCGTTCTGTATAATACAGATACACGCCGTTCTGTATAATACAGATACACGCCGTTCTGTATAATACAGATACACGCCGTTCTGTATAATACAGATACACGCCGTTCTGTATAATACAGATACACGCCGTTCTGTATAATACAGATACACGCCGTTCTGTATAATACAGATACACGCCGTTCTGTATAATACAGATACACGCCGTTCTGTATAATACAGATACACGCCGTTCTGTATAATACAGATACACGCCGTTCTGTATAATACAGATACACGCCGTTCTGTATAATACAGATACACGCCGTTCTGTATAATACAGATACACGCCGTTCTGTATAATACAGATACACGCCGTTCTGTATAATACAGATACACGCCGTTCTGTATAATACAGATACACGCCGTTCTGTATAATACAGATACACGCCGTTCTGTATAATACAGATACACGCCGTTCTGTATAATACAGATACACGCCGTTCTGTATAATACAGATACACGCCGTTCTGTATAATACAGATACACGCCGTTCTGTATAATACAGATACACGCCGTTCTGTATAATACAGATACACGCCGTTCTGTATAATACAGATACACGCCGTTCTGTATAATACAGATACACGCCGTTCTGTATAATACAGATACACGCCGTTCTGTATAATACAGATACACGCCGTTCTGTATAATACAGATACACGCCGTTCTGTATAATACAGATACACGCCGTTCTGTATAATACAGATACACGCCGTTCTGTATAATACAGATACACGCCGTTCTGTATAATACAGATACACGCCGTTCTGTATAATACAGATACACGCCGTTCTGTATAATACAGATACACGCCGTTCTGTATAATACAGATACACGCCGTTCTGTATAATACAGATACACGCCGTTCTGTATAATACAGATACACGCCGTTCTGTATAATACAGATACACGCCGTTCTGTATAATACAGATACACGCCGTTCTGTATAATACAGATACACGCCGTTCTGTATAATACAGATACACGCCGTTCTGTATAATACAGATACACGCCGTTCTGTATAATACAGATACACGCCGTTCTGTATAATACAGATACACGCCGTTCTGTATAATACAGATACACGCCGTTCTGTATAATACAGATACACGCCGTTCTGTATAATACAGATACACGCCGTTCTGTATAATACAGATACACGCCGTTCTGTATAATACAGATACACGCCGTTCTGTATAATACAGATACACGCCGTTCTGTATAATACAGATACACGCCGTTCTGTATAATACAGATACACGCCGTTCTGTATAATACAGATACACGCCGTTCTGTATAATACAGATACACGCCGTTCTGTATAATACAGATACACGCCGTTCTGTATAATACAGATACACGCCGTTCTGTATAATACAGATACACGCCGTTCTGTATAATACAGATACACGCCGTTCTGTATAATACAGATACACGCCGTTCTGTATAATACAGATACACGCCGTTCTGTATAATACAGATACACGCCGTTCTGTATAATACAGATACACGCCGTTCTGTATAATACAGATACACGCCGTTCTGTATAATACAGATACACGCCGTTCTGTATAATACAGATACACGCCGTTCTGTATAATACAGATACACGCCGTTCTGTATAATACAGATACACGCCGTTCTGTATAATACAGATACACGCCGTTCTGTATAATACAGATACACGCCGTTCTGTATAATACAGATACACGCCGTTCTGTATAATACAGATACACGCCGTTCTGTATAATACAGATACACACCGCTCTGTATAATACAGATACACACTGCTTTGTATATAATACAGATACACACCACACTGCATAATACAGATACACACCGCTCTGTATAATACAGATACACACCTCTCTGTATAATACAGATACACACTGCTTTGTATATGATACAGATACACACCACTCTGTATAATACGGATACACACTGCTTTGTATAAAACACACACTGCTCTGTATAATACAGATACACACCGCTCTGTATAATACAGATACACAGCACTCTGTGTATAATACAGATACACACCGCTCTGTATAATACAGATACACAGCGCTCTGTATAATACAGATACACACCGCTCTGTATAATACAGATGCACACCTCTCTGTATAATACAGATACACACCGCTCTGTATAATACAGATACACACCGCTCTGTATATAATACAGATACACACCTCTCTGTATAATACAGATACACACCGCTCTGTATATAATACAGATACACACCTCTCTGTATAATACAGATACACACCGCTCTGTATATAATACAGATACGCATTGCTCTGTGCATAACACAGACACAATGATACTTTCTGCAGTTTTGTGTCATTTCAGTGACAGTAGTGAGGAGTGTTGCCTGGCGATGGCGGGACGGATCACTTCCTCTATAGAAGTCGATGTTTTATAATGGGACACCTTCTTCTCTCTCTATTGTGTCACAGACACCTGTGGATGTGATTTCACATTGTAGCCGGCAGTGTCTGAATATATAATGCGTGTCGCCTACACAGTGTTTACTTTGATAAGACACAGTTGGGGGAGATGTTATGCACATCTCTTGTTTGTGGCTTTTGAATGAAACTCAGGCCTCTTCCTGTCTCCATATCTGGATTCCTCTTCCTCTCCGGCTTTCCTTTTCTCTCATCTGTGAGAAGTCTGTCAGCTCCCCTCAGTCTCCCCTCACTGTTCATTATTAGGGCTGAGATTCGGGTTCGGGCCCAAAACCAAATGTTTTAAGGTGCCCATACACCTTACGAATATCGGCCGATTTTCGTATGCGATTGCGTTTTCGTCAGATAAGGTTGATGGGCAGTGTACCACCATAAATACTGTACAATCGATCGGCTTTTGACTAACCAGCAGGTTAGAAAACTTTGGTCAATCGTACGAGTCTCGCAAGGTTGGTGGTGTTTCCGTACGTCAAAATTCGTATGATCTACACTGCACATGCGCAGACCAAAATATGTGCAGTCAATTACCGCAATTCGTCCAGGTGCTTTCTTCTATTTACCGCTGATCCAACCTTGTGATAATCGGGGCAGGATGGGGAGTACGAAAATTGTACAACGGTTTGATCATCGGACGAAAAGTTTTGTCCAATGATTGCAAGGTGTATGGGCAGCCTTAGCCAGTTTGCTGGATGGCAGAACCTGCACCTGTGTCCTAGAACCAATGAACATATGCGACTGAGCCACCAGTCAACCAATGATGCTGTGTAAGCCACACTGGATCAATGGTTGCCAGGACACTAGTGGCTAGGCCACACAACCTCATTGCTTGCTAAGACACTGGGAGCCCAGTGTCATTCATGTTATGTTAGGGTTAGGCCCACCTTGTGTCCTAGCAACCAATAACTATGTGTGGCTGCGCTACCGGTAAACCAATGATGCTCTGCACACTAGTGGCTGCGGCTGCATATCACCATTGGTTGTTATGGTGCACCCACCTGTTTCCTAGCAACCAATGATGCTGTGCGGCCAGTCACTATCAATCTAGCAACTAGGGATGTCCGAAACCAAGCTCATCCCTACTAACAAGCAATGATGCTGTTCATCCAAACGAACTAAACCCAGTGACTCGCACAGCACCATTGATTGCTAGGACGCTAGTGGCTGGGTCACACAATGTAATTGGCTACTAAGACACAGGCAGCCACACAACATCATTAGTTGTTATGTTGCACCCATCTGTGTCCTAGAAACCAAGGATGCTGTGCAGCCCAGTTTCTAGCATCCTAGCAACTTATGATGCTGTGCAGGTCACACATCATCATTGGATGCCAATTGGGACACGGCCCAGGATTCAGTTCACTTGGTCCTTCGCCGAACCCGGAGTTCTGGTGGCATTGGCGAACATCCAAGCAAACCAAACCCAGACCACTTTGCTCATCGCTATTAAATTTTCAATACTCATTGTACTTGAACTTGTTGTGTTC